CTAACTAACTAACTAACTAACTAACTAACTAACTAACTAACTAACTATTCCAAACCAACTCTCTTGTCTTTTTTCTTCTTCCAATTTTAGAGATTGTTATTGATTGTTCTCTTTATGCTTCTTTGTAATACAAGAAAATATAAAACAAGTGATACTAAATCCCTGTTGTAGATGCTGTCAGCCAGCGTCTGTGTGTGAGTTCTGGAGAATGAACAGTGCCACCCTGTGGCTGCTGGCTCACTGGTGCTCCGTATCTTCTGTCTGCAGGAATCAGCCTCCACGACGAGGCTCTGGACTGGGCCGCGGCGGGCGATCACGTCAGCCTCACTGTCACCGGCATGGACATCATCAAGATCAAGTAAACAAACCTCCCCCTCAACACCCCATAACCTTAGTTTATATTGCACACTAATCATTATAAATGTTTCCCTTTAGTGTGGGCTGTGTGTTCTGTGATCCCAAAGAGCCGATTAGAGTCTGCACTCGATTCAGAGCCAGAATCCTCCTCTTCAACATTGAGGTCCCTATCACACAAGGCTTTCCAGTAAGTGCCACAAAAACTATTGAAAGTGTAGTGAAGTACCTTATCAGATCTAATTATAATTTATTAAAAAGATTGTCGATGGAAGCTTAAACTTTAAAGGGCTATTTCCCCTAAAAGAGAAAAAAAACAGGAATTTAATACTCAATTTTCATTTATTTGGGTTGTGACAACTAATTATTCCTCCAAATTACTTGCAAATTAGTTTCTTCCTCCTTAACATAAAAATATCACCCGCAACACACACACACACACACACACACACACACACACACACACACACACACACACACACACACACGTACACACACACTCGATCAATCAGCCATGCTGCCAATAGTCTGCTGACAATAGTTTCACTTTTATTTGTGCAGTTTTCTGTCCAGTTCTGTACATTTTTGCCTTTTGTGTGTGTATTTCCTGTAGGTGCTGTTGCATTACCAGACAGTCAGCGAGCCGGCCACCATTAGGAAACTAATTAGTGTTCTACATAAGAGCAGTGGTGAAGTCCTCAAGAAGAAACCAAAGTGAGTTGTGGGAAGGGCGCCCATCAGGTTTGATCTCTCTCTCTTTCTGTGTTCCAGCTGCAGGGCTTTATTCTTCCCATACTAAAACCACAGTATGAAAAAGATGAAGTTTGTGCAGAAAAGTCCAAAGACAGAGCAGCCCCCTTCTTTTTTAGCAATTTACATTGTATTGTTGTTTGATGTTCTAAATCCTCTAATTAAAATAGCTGTTTGCCTTTTTCTCCACATTAATTTCTCTTTTATGTTTAAGTGGTTATTTTCTTCAACCTCAGTGTCTTTCCTCTGAAGGTGTTTGAGTAAGGGCATGAATGCTATAGTGGAGATCCAGACCCAGAGGCCGGTGTCATTAGAGCTGTACAAGGACTACAAAGAACTGGGCCGCTTCATGCTGCGATATGTGGGCTCCACCATCGCTGCAGGGGTTGTCACAGAGGTGGGACAGACTAAAAAAACATTGGAAAATAGGTTGATCATTTAAACTGTTTTTATTATATCAGATTGCAGGATGTCTCTCTCTTTGAGCAAAGCAATCTCATTTCCTTTTGATTTGTTCCCCCTTTTCCTGCAGATCAAAGAGTGACAACAGACGCACACATCTGCCAGTCAGAGTCAAACCTTGCTGTTGCCTGCATGTAGCCAGAAACTGAAAGAAAAGTACCACCTGTGGAGTTAAAGAGGCATTTTTATCCATCCATTTTCTCATTCTCGCGCAGTGTCTGTATCAACCGACTGCTTTGATCAACACTAACTGCACAGATGCCAACCATGTGGCCAGATACCTCCAAACAAGCTGACAGGGCTCCTAACTTCTGTGACCTCCTGACTCCTGTTTCTTTATTCTTCTGTCAGTAATGCTGGCACATCTCCTACTTGATCAAGTTAAATCATAACTGGTCAGACTTTGAAAAGCAATCCTACCTGAGGGTTTGACAGATTAATTGTGTTCTCCTAGAGAGCCACAGCTGATCATTAATATTGACTAACAGATGGCACCTGATCTCTGCTTTATTTTAGTAAATGAACAAAACTATGATTCCTCTCTTTCTTGCTGCATTTAAAATCCAGACTTGAGGATTGATTGTCCAGTTTACAACACAACTCTCTCAGCATGTTCTACTGATCAAAACTGAATAAAAAGTTTAAAAAAGGAAAACTGTTATGCCATTCAGAACTAAAGTGGAAAGGAGTTAACTTTGCTTTCTTTTTAAGTTCAGCATCTAATTAAACTGTGGATGATCATTTGAATGCTAACCAAGACAGAGCAGTTTGTAAACATAAAAAGGAATATCCCAAGCAAATGTGTAAAATGAGACGGAAAAAATTTGAAATGCTTCAAAAATTTTTTTATTTTATTTGAAATTGAATAGTTTGGAGGTGAAAACATTTCTGTTGATGATATCAGTACTTTTTGACTTTTGATTGCCCCATTTCATCAAAGTGAATCAGGATTAATAGTGACGCTGTTAATCTGGCTCTATTTGAGTGGAAAGCACAGAAAGTGACACATCTTAATAATACAGATATCAGGGGAACATCCAAACCTGGGGAAGTCAAATAAAAGTGCTTGCTGAAGCTGAGGATTGCTTGTTTTTCCTGTTATTTCCATGCTAACAAGGATTTTTCAGTCGCAGCGCCATAAGTACTGGAAAACGGATCCAGAGCCACCAAGAGAATTCCCCACTGTATAAACTTCCTTTAGACACAGAAACCTAAAACTGTTCAGAGAACATGAAGGATTTGCAACCATTTAAAAATGTCAAATGATTTGCTTTTACTATTGTGACCGAGTGACAGCTTATGAGTCAATTATCCAATTACATTTGAGTCCCTGATAAGAAGGTTTATCATATTAGGGGTCAATGATTAATGAACCTGACACTCCACAAGTCCCTAAATGAAAGTAACTTTAAGGATTATTTAGCCTAGACACAATTCTGATTGGATAACCAGATCATTTGAATTCAGTTTTTGGAAGGAATTTGTTAAATTTGGAATGAGTGTAATTTTCCTGAACTTACCAGACAGGAATAAAGAGCTATGAAATGACATGGATATTGATAGTAGTGACGATTAGTTCATACCACAAACCTAATACCCTTTTAATAATGCAGAGCTTCTCTGTCTAATGGTAGTCTGTCTGAATCTGTCTCAATGAGTTCTTAAAAGGTTTTCTGAGAATCTCAACAATACAGTCCTTATCTTGGTCATGGTCCACTTGACCAAGCACTCTATCCTTCATTCTGGAGTCTGGAGTTTCCCGGACCACTCCGCTTTTTGTGGACGTGAACAAAGCTTACAATTGTGTCATTTTCCTGTGGGACTTGCTATAGGAGTAGGGAACCATTCATAAATGGCCCATTCATCTCATTCACTGTACATGCAGAGAAAGGACTTGATTTTCATTTCTAGTAGTCAGTCAGATTGGTTTCTTTTGGTTGCCTCTAATTTGGTTAACCATTGTGGATTTCTTGGTAAGGCCAACAGACAGAAGGATTCTGATGCAGACGGCTGTATCAGAGTTGATGAAATAGAGATCCTGATATTCACTGGGGACGTCTTGCTGCTATTATAAGTCGAGCAGCCTGCATAATTACAACCGTGGCCCCTGCTTTGAGGCAATGAAGCACTCTTTTTTTTATTGAAAAAGTAATCCTGAAAACTACATTTATCATCTTTAAGCCTATTCCTCATGCGGCACATTTTGATGCTTATTACCAACCACTGTGATGTGGAAGGACTGGTTCCCACTGACACTGTAGACTGTAGACTGTGTTTTATTGTCACAGAGGAGGCCCCACAGTGGGAGGATCGGTACAGAGCAAAGCTCTCTTTGCCTGTTAGATACATGTAGCTGGAGACGCTGCCTGTTGTCTACTCTCGCTGCTTTTTTCTTGAATAGTTTGGAAGAACTTATTGACCAGAATCATGCCAAAAAGCTCGGAAACATGCTCCTACCTGTTTTTGGAGAATTACATTGGAGGAAAGTTTGTTTCCTGCCAAAGTCACATAGATTCCTACAACCCCTCCACCGGAGAAGTCTACTGCAAAGTACCGGACAGTGGCAAGGAGGAGGTAAGTTAAACTCCCTAATGTTTAGTTTGTTATTTAGCAATTGTTAGAAAACTACCTGTCATGGTCTTTGTGGCACGGGTAATGTGGGATATTCCATTTGATCATGATTAGAAACCTTGTTTTTGCTATAAAAAATGCACATGGAAATCCTTTAAAATCCTCTCTATAAATTGTTGAAGACAAGTTTAGTAGCGCAGTCACCGTTAGTGAAGCGTTGTGTCAGGGAGAAGCACCTTTGCTCTTTTCAGAGTCAACAGTCAAGTAATGATTAATCACTTATGTCAGTAAACTTTTACATTTGTAACAATTCATTGTAGGAGTAAAAGCTTTTAGTAAAATACACATTTTCTTTATGTTGTTGACGCATAGGTGACAGTGGGTTTTTCCACTAAAAGTTATTTCACTTCAAGGATTTTTCAAAGACCTAACAGGACTGATTTATAAAATAGGGAGCCTTCTCCTTATCTCCCTTAGAGCCATAAAATAAAACTATAAACCATTTCTAAATGTTTGCACACGCTCATTCAATTTGGGTAAAAAGTTTGAAGTCGTATTTTAGCAGACAGCACCACTAAACTCACCCCTGAATGTTGATTTTGTCCGGCTACAGGTGGATGCAGCAGTGGCTGCAGCTAAGGAGGCCTTCCCTGACTGGTCAGCCCGCAGTCCACAGCAGCGGGCAGAGATCCTTAACAAGTTGGCTGACTTGATTGAAGCTAACCTGGAGGAGTTTGCCCAAGCTGAGTCCAGAGACCAAGGTAATTCAGTTGGCTATCAACGAATCAGATTTTTGGTTATCACTGCAAAGATGGGTTCTCTCAAATGTTTAAATGTAGCATGTTTTTGCACAGATCTTAAAAAACCCAGTCTGTAACAGCATTCAGACAGATATAACATGGAGAAAGTATTTACTTTACATTCTGATGAGCAAGTCTGTTTAAAAGGCCTGTTATTTCCGAGGTCTTTGGTCATTCCAATACCACCCAGCATTTGATATACAGAGCATGTCGCTTCAGGTAAAACCGTGGCATTTGCACGAACTGTGGACATTCCCCGTTCTGCGTACAACTTCCGCTTCTTTGCATCATCGGTGCTGCACCACACCACCGACTGCAGCCAGATGGATCACATGGGCTGCCTGAATTACACCCTTCGCTGTCCGGTGGGAGTGGGTGAGAGCTCAGCGTGTCTCAGTTTGTAAATGCATCTGTTCTTGAGTATTCTTAACATTTATGTCATTAGTATGATTTTTCTTTTATATCTAACATGTGCAGCTGGGTTGATCAGCCCTTGGAACCTTCCTCTGTACCTACTGACGTGGAAGATTGCCCCTGCAATCGCTGCAGGAAACACAGTGGTGGCCAAACCCAGCGAGATGACCTCTGTGACTGCATGGATGATGTGCAAGTTAATGCAGCAGGCAGGTAGGAGTAGTAGGGATTCTTTTTCTGATCGAATGTGTCACACACATCACTGAGATATCAAGATGTTCTTATTCAGACATATCTTTATTTTCGTCTTTGCTGTTGAATTAATAATGGATGGATAGATTAAGCTGTCTCTCTCTCTCTCCAGGTGTTCCTCCAGGTGTTGTCAACATAGTTTTTGGCACCGGTCCAAGAGCGGGTGATGCCCTTGTTGGCCACCCTGACGTCCCTTTGGTCTCCTTCACTGGCTCCACAGCCACTGCCGTGCACATCACAGAGCGGAGCGCCCCCTACTGTAAGAAGCTCTCACTGGAGCTGGGGGGGAAAAACCCGGCTATTATTTTTGCTGATGCAGACCTGGACCAGTGCGTTGAGACCACTGTTCGTTCCAGCTTTTCTAATCAGGTGAGAACAGGTATTTAATTTTATGTGGTATATTTGAACATTTGTCTTTAATTTTTCTTTCATTCAACACACAAGTGTAACACACAAGTGTCAAGGCTATTTTACTAGTCAGGCCTATAGCCTTTGAAATCCACATGTTTAGTTTGCATAAATTGAGTTATTTTAAATTTATTGGAAATATAAATCAGTGAGCTAAGAGATTTAAGAATGTTCATCCTTGCCAGTTTAATCATTTTTTGGGATGTTTAAAACCATATCTGCACTGTACAATAGCACATGAATTTTGAATTTTATACTTAGGAACACAGCAAGTTGATTTCCTTTTCTTACAAGATTACTGAAAAATAGATTATGCTGCATAATTTTATGCAAAAAAAATGTTTTTCTATTTGTTTTTCTCTGACAGGGAGAAATCTGCTTGTGTACCAGTAGAATTTATGTAGAGCGGAGCATTTACTCTGAGTTCCTGAAAAGGTTTGTGGCTGCAGCTAAGAAGTGGAAGACTGGCTCGCCCTCTGACCCCACCAATAATAATGGAGCGCTCATCAGTAAAGAGCACCTGGAGAAGGTAGCTGTGGAAATATTAGGACTCGGCAACTGTTGGTTACTTTCCTCTCATGCGCTTTAGTTTAAAATATCCATTTCATTCCCAAGGTTCGCAGCTTTGTGGCTCTTGCCAAATCAGAGGGTGGCGTAGTCCACTGTGGTGAGGGAGTCGACCCCCTGAACCTCCCCGAGGGCAACAGTTCTGGCTACTTCATGCCAGCAACGGTCATCTCGGGCATATCCGACAGCTCACGTGTCATGCAGGAGGAGATCTTTGGCCCCGTTACCTGTGTGAGCCCCTTTGATACAGAACAGGAAGCAGTCTCAAAGGGAAATGGTGTGCGTTACGGTCTGGCCGCCACCGTTTGGTCCCGTGATGTGGGGAGGGTTCACAGAATGGCCAAGCTCCTGGACGCTGGACTGGTGTGGACCAACTGCTGGCTGGTGAGAGATCTGAATCTGCCTTTTGGAGGAATGAAAAACTCTGGGGTGGGGAGAGAGGGAGGAAAGGATTCCTATTATTTCTTCACAGAGGTGAAGAGTATCACCATCAAACACTAACGGTAGATTTGGCATTACTAAAAACATTTTAAATGCCACACAAGTCAAGTGTTCAACAGACGTGGATTTTAAATTACATTATTTACAAGGTCTGCACAGTCACAACAAGACTAACATTCAAAATTTCATACCGAAGTAGTTTTACTGCTGAAAGAATCCATTAAGCTGTTGGAAAATATGTGATAAGGCACCACATTTGAGACACACAAGGCCAGATGAAGTCCAAATGCCATTAGAAATGTAAGCGGTCAAAAGAGGCCTTACATGTAAGCAGAGGGGAACGGGTTTGGGAAAATAAATAAATGTCACTACAATAAGGCATTGATGTTTCAGCCATTTATTTGTTCATGCTCAGCTGGAGGCAGCGAGACCAGAAATCTGATAAAGATAAAGATGGTCAGCTCCAGAGAGCTCACATCCTGAGGCCAGTTTGCATGATACTTTCGCTGTGTTGAGATGTTTTGCCTTGTTGGGCTTCCAGTGATTCTGTTTGGGAATATACTGTATGATATAGGAAGTGCCGCGTCAATAACTCCACTTCATACAACATACACCATCCTCCAGAGCTCATTGCATGGTCACAATCTAACACTATGACCGAAGCTGAAAAGTTTAATTAGTCAGCATGTTTAAGATGTAGTCACATGTTTGTTCCACCGGGGGGCGATCAAGCCCACATTTAGACATTAGTCAGAAACAAAGTGTGCCATCACTAACCCAGGTTTGAACTGTATTAGCACCAAAAGAAACAAGAAATCTCTCTTCTCCCTTGAGCAAACAGTACTCCTTCTACCAATGTAAAAACAGAACATTTCTCATAAATGGTTTGACTGAACAGCTGTCCATTTATTTATTTCTTCTCATATCCATCAACTATAAAAAAAAAAATGTTTTTACAGTTTCAAAGATCACAGCTTCAATTGTATACCAAATCAGAAACAAGTAGTGGTGACTGATGAAAGAGGTGATCAACTGTAACAAATCTGGTCAGACTTTAGCCCATCATGTAGGACGAGATATTTGCCTCATTGTCTGTGTGAGCCTCTCTGTGGCAGAGAGAATGAAGCTGTTTCCAAGGGGTCTGGTAACCAAAACTTGGTCCTGTGCTGTGGTGAGTGTTCACAAAGTGGCCAAATTTTGGAAAGCAGGACTTGAATTGACCAAGTTTCAGCTGGTGAGAAATCTGAATCAGAAAAACAGGATAAATAATTCCAATGCTTTCGGTTAACTAGAATGTGTTTGGTTGTTTATTTGTATTTGGCCCTATCATGGACTGGCAACCTATAAAGGGTGTACCCTGCCTCTCACCCAATGACAGCTGGGATAAGTTCCAGACTCAGCATAACCCTGTTAGGAATAAGCAGAATTGAAAATGGATGGATGGATGCATGCTGAAATGTAAACTTTCATGAGGATATTGAAAATTACGTCTGTCACAGCTTTTCAAAATTGTTACATAAAATATATCCTTCCAAATGTACACACACATAATATAGAAATACCACTCCAAATGTTTCAGCTTCCTAGGTCTGGGTTATGTCATGCCTAAAATATGGGAGCTCTTGATAGCATCTGTGACTTTCAGTAAAAGACAGATGCCAAAAGTCTTGATCTGATTGAAGAGCTCTGGTATCACTGTAGCATTTCTGCTTCAAATTTTTGACATGGCTTTGTCTTTTGGAGTTAGATGAGTAACCAAGGTTGCATCTTAACACATTTTCAAAGACCAGAGAGGATGACACAAATGGTCAAAGTCTGCTGTTTTCTGTGCGTCATACAAAGTTTACAGTATGTTCTCTGAAGAGACCGTTTTGCATCGACTTGGATTTATGTCTAACTTGCTGACGTAAGAAGAGCTGAACAAATGTCGAGCAGCCTCTGTGGAGGTGAAACTGGCTAAGGGAACACACGCTCCAAACAAAGTGTTTGTGTCAAGTTAAAACATACAGAAGTTTTGCAAAAATGGACCAAATTCTTTTGACATTTTCAATAACCCATTAGAGTGAATGGCATGTGAATTATGAGTTTTTGCATGCCTCCACTCTTGTAAATAAACATCACAAAATCCCAATGTGGAATTTGGAACTACTAAAATGCAGAATGACAGATGTCAAGATATTTTAGGCAAGGCAAGTTTATTTGTATAGAACATTTCGTGTACAAGACAATTAAAAGTGCTTTACAAAGAATTTAAAAGCAGAAAAACAAAGAAAGAAAATGAATCAACAACTTAAATCAGATTGATAAAAAGTGAGGGGTGCAGATGAAATGCATTCACTTCCCATATGCAAAGTTAAACATAACCGTTTTCAGCCTGGATTTAGGAGTTGAGGCCTTCTGAAAGACTGCTCCAGATTTTAGGAGCATAGAACTCGAATGAAGCCTCTCCTTGTTTAGTTCTGATTCTGGGCACCACCAGGAGACCAGGACCTGAGGTTCTCAGAGTCCGAGCTGGTTCAAACGGCTCTAACATGTCAGAAATGTATTTTAGTGCTTGACCATGAAGAGACGTGTACAAGCAGAGCTGTTTTAAAGTCTATTCTCTGAGTGACAGGAAGCCAGTGGAGAGACCTGAGCACTGGACTGATATGGTCGTATTTCCTGGTTCTGGTCATTCTAATGCTCTTCGAAGGTCAATGTAAGGTAATACTCAATCTTTTTTTCCCTTTTTAACCCAGACTCATGCAAACACATATGACAACCATGTGTTCATACCCAAACCATGATATTTTCCTTTTAAGTGAGACTAAAACTATGGTCTTCCAGGAGACATGAACTGCACTCTCCAAGGAGTAACCAAGTAAAAAGAAAAAAATAAACATCTCAAAATGATTCCCTTTCAAGGAAGGTAGATTTAAATTGACAACACAAGTCCAAGGACATGATTTGAAAGGAATGTCTCATGAAAAGATTTGTAAACCAGACAAAAAATCTGAATAAGTCAAATTCTTAATAATGATAATGCGAAGACCTGAACAGAACTACCATGTTGGTTTTAAGCCATTTTAAACCCATCCTGTCTTACCCAAGTGTGAGATGTGACTGACGTAGGGATTGCATTACCCACGCAGATGAGAGTGCCTACATGTTGCCCCGTGCTTGGTTTAAGGGCCGACTTCTTAAGCTCCGGAAAAGAGGGCACAGAGGAGGAAGTGCCACGTCCGTTTAGAGAGTGTGTAAAATCACGTCCACTGGTACCCTGTATGTGACGTTCACCGCAGAGCCGGCGTGTGCCCCACCCTCTGTGTTTTGGCTACAGAATGGGTATTGTACTGTATCAAGCTGCATGGTTGTGCGCACACGCACACTGATATGCCTTCCTAGAACACAGCTCATTGTGAAATCAATACCGCCCCGGAGTCAGGTCAGGGTGCATAAAACCGTGTTGTGTTGAACAAAACCCAACTTCAGGAGAAGCACGCGGGGCTCAGCAAGTCAGCATTTATTCAAGTTCCTCTCAGTTTCCGTCATTTTTCCTGGTTTATCTTCCATCTCCTTCTTGTGATATTTGGCTAAGTAGGAAACGCCTCGCGGCCGGGGGTCGCGCCCCGCCGTACGTGACTTTGAGAGCACTGGCGATAACTCCAGCCAAAGCAACTTATGCCCGACGTGGAACTTTTCATAATGAAAACAAAATGTCTTTCCGCTTTTTTATTTACGAGTAAACGTTACCATTAAGGCCAGTAGACTTCATAAACAATCTGTTTTCATGCAGGGCTGCGATAGGCCTCCTGCGGGGGGGTTTCTCACTGACTTGATCTGCTGTGGAAAGAACAACCACAGCCAACAGCTATTTTCTTTCCTCCTTTGAGTACAATGTAGTGCAATAAGTCTGAAAGCTTTCATTGTAAATGTGCATATACAATTGGTTTGATTGCTCTAATTGAACATTTTGTTCCTTTTACATAAAATGGTAAAGGTTTTCATTTTAGTCAGTGAGTTTGCTCTTTGATTCTCTGCTAAAATGATCACCTTTTTCTTTCCTCTTTCCTTTAGCCTCAATCAGAGTGCTGCATTTCTTTGTTCTTCTTTGAATATCATGAGGCGCACATAGTGTCCAAGACCGTCTGCTCCTCTCTCCACTCTCCCATCTCTAAAGGCCCTTGTCACATTTGGGTTGAGGGAATTTTCCACACTTGGTTGGCCTGGATTGTTGTGATAGATAAGTCCCCAGATGAAGCTGAGTCCTGAGAAAATGCTGCAGTTCAGGCAGGTTAAGCAAACTCAGCCAATAAATCCAGAGTGTGTGAGGAGACAGTGTGAGCAGGGAGGGGGAGCGTTACTTGGCTGCAGAAGTCCAAAAGTTTGCAGCTACATGTCAGTCTCTGAGAGGTGCTATGTACCCTCCAGTCTGAGAGAACAAGAAAAAAAGACGCCTCACACTGGAATCATGTCTTCTATTCATATGTGACAGATTCAAATTAGCAGAGAGAAAGACAGGTGTTTTTAAACAAGTAAAGAAACCAAGAAAGATATTTTTAGTTGCTGGATTCCGAGTACATTGGGCCATTCTAACTTAAACAGGTCGGGAACAATTCCATATATTGGCTGCTAGACTGTCACACATGGAGAACAGTTGTCACACTTTTTGTGTTGACATAAATCATTTAGGTCTCAGCACTTTCCCTTTTCTTGTGTAAAGCATCACCCATGGGGACAATTTGTTTTTAAGTTTAGATTTAAGCTTTTTAATTCCTATATTATCAAATGAGCCATGCCAATGTTTCCATGCTGTATCTCCAAAAATGTACTACAAACCAAGTTATGTGCTGATTCAAATATACATGATTTATGACATTTTGCTAAACATTTGGAGGCATGCCTTAAATCAAACAATCACTGGAAGTGATTTGCTAAAAGAACAGGCTCTTTTTACCTCCATACTACAGTGAGGCATTCCTCTTCCTGTTGTGCTTGATGCTCCGGAACCTTTATATTTGTTGCCAAATACTGGACACAATTCAAAGAAAAACGAGGAAGCCTCAGGTCAAGTGGTTATTATGTGTGCCACACATCTTGAATGTTGCCAAGTCATGGGGCACGTAAATGAACTGATTTATTTTTATAACATATTAGAAAAAAGACAAAGCATGAAATAGGATGGAGCTGTTGAACTGCATTTGAAGAACCATGTGACAGTTCGGCGGAAGCATTACTGAAGGCTTTTGGCATTTTAATCACTGAATATCAGGTCCCCAAGCGGTGATTATTAAGGCCTGAATAAATAGTGCCTCTATCTTCAAGCACTTCCCAGCTCATTATCCTTTTAGGATTTTGCCATGGGGAAGTCTCCACACCCATTTCACATGAGGTATCCTATT